GACCGCGTTGCAGACACGGAGATGCTCCGACGCAGTGGCATGTATGCAGTGGACTGCATAATTCTTCTAAGGAAATTAAGGTATCTCAGGCATTTTCACTGCATGGAATTGACCTGGCTATCGAAACAGCTATTTTATGGCCAACTTCCTGCAGGTAAGCAGCATGTAGAGTAATCAAGTTACGTTACCAGGACATGTTCAAAGTGAGCCTATCAAGTTCTAATTTTGAGTGCAGGTAATGGGAATCGAAGACGGTTGATCGGCGTACATGGCGCAATCTGATCGCGAAGGCAATTGCCCAACTGCGAGAGAAAGCTCTGGTGCATGTGGAGAAGAAGCGGCAGGTGCGCAAATGGCAGGCGCCGAGAGAGTATACTCCATCGACGTCGAGCGCATAGTGCTGTAGTACATGCGGCCGCGAGTACCTGAGTCAGGTGGGCCTAGTAAGCCGTGAGCTACGCAACTGGGGAGCAACATCGAAAGGACGACGAGTCCTACTGAGAGCGTAAGCAGAACAGGCGCAGCGTTGGTAGGTACGTTGCAATCGATTTACTAACCGCGTGCTTTCGTGCTGAGTTTATCTATTTCAGGTGATTGAGTTACTATCCTTTGTTAATACATACGTTGTTACCTCACTCTAATGTCTATCTGAATAATCATCATGCTACGCTAAAACAAAAAGTGGTTATTTTGTTTAGCTGTATTCGCGCTTGTTTATAGGTTTTTTGATTTCCTTTTGCTGCCATCTGTAATTCATCGCGTTTATGTTGATAACGCTTTTATTTCCTATGTTAATTTAGTGAAGGGTTAAGTCGGCAGACCCGTATGTATTTTCCGATTTTATTCTTTGATATCATCAGTCCAGTGACTGGTTGTTGCTTAACTTCCCCGGTTTACATACGCTTGATGTGCATGTTGGCAGGGTGCATACCAGTCGATTATTCACCACCTCGTTTCTACTGACTCTTGTAGATAGTTTATCGTTGCTGGAGAGGACAGGGTGCGTGGTCCTCGTGACGGTGTTAAGCTTAAAGGATGATTTCATGCACAGTGAGTGTATGTGGAGCGGACTACGGTCCAAGCACTGCCATGTGTGTGCTTGATTCCTCAAATACAACGTGCCTGTGTTTGTCTGTGAAAGAGAGCGGGCCGGCCACGTCAATGAAACTTGACTCCCATCGACATGCTTCCCGGTCTTATTCCGTGGGGTTTACACCGAATGTCGGATGTGTGGGTGGATATGCATGAAGACCAAGAAGGCCACCACATCGACCTAGAGAACGTAAAGATCCTAGCCCATGGAAATTCGAGGCAAGCTTGAGAGTTCTTGGAAGCATGGTATGCTACAGACACTTCAATAAACAGACGCGTTGAAACCGATGCTATACATGCAGCTCTAGGTTGAAAGATCGCCGAATTAGTGAACTAAATCTAACGGAACATAACACTAGACAAGTGCGTCAAACGACGACGCCAACCGAAGAGGCAAGAATCAGAGATCGATTTTGATGGTCATGTGCCCGTCGATCGATCCAAACTCAGACTGACGGCTAGAAGGTCGATCAAGCACACCCACTGCCACTTCGTACCGCGCCGCCCTGCTACATAAAAGCGCACTGACGATGTCACCTCGGGTGGTGATGAAACGTTTGCAGCCAAACTGCCGAGATCAGCGAACACTCAGACCACCATCTGTGTGGATCGAGCTGCAAGTGGTGCAGCGCAAGGCACCCATCGTCCGTAGGCGCAATCTTCCTATGGCCGTCCCGTGGAGGCTGCACTAATAGACAAATCCGGAACCGGATGCCCCCAACCATAGACGAGTTGGCATCGCTACGGCTCTCTACTTAGACAGAGAACTTCTTAGAATTATTTGCGCCTGATTCAGCTTTCCCCTTCGCATTTTGGAAAAGAGCGGTCCGTGGATATTACTCACATTTATTTTTAACTCATCGATAACATTTGTAGATACTGCGAAATTGGGCCGCTTAGTAAGTTGGCCAGCATCTAGACCACTCTCCGAGTACGTATACACACGTAAAATCTATCAATGGGTGTGCGTCCCTGTCTTGTTTCTTTTTGAGTTAGGTGTAGGGAGCAGAACTCTCAGTGAGATAGGCCTTAAATTTCGCTCAGGCTGACTGAACAGCGTCGACCACACAGATCTCACAACGCAGAACTGAAGCTTTGGCTCAGGTTGCCTTAAAGTTTCACGATCAAACATTTGGACATTCCTCAGCAGTTACGTGATGATTTCTAGAATGAGCATGTCGAAAGCATAAGTAGATACGGTCACTGATTACGCAGAAATAAAGTTCGAGGCAGACGGCAGCTGGGCGTTTGTGTACTTAGTGAGGAGACCCATGAACTGCTGCAAACGCGTTAGCAAAGTTAGCTCGAGAATATCCGAAGCCAAGGTGCCGGTAGTCGACGTGTAAGAACGCTCACCCCAGTACCAGTTAGACACCTATTGTCAGTCTGAGTACGAATAAACTGTCACCCCCTTGGAAGTGCTGCCGGGACGCCGATAACATCCTTTTAACAGCCAAAAATGAGCAGCACTCCAACTTTGAAGACCAACGAATCGCTCACCTTTAAGCTACATATAGGCAATTAAGTGTATGTTACTCTCTGCGATGTCCGGGAATAACCTTATTTCAGTTAAAGTAATATTTCTGGAGTATATTTACCTAGAAGTAGATCCACTTTGTGTAGCTTGTGTCCATGGACTACGCACGTAGCTAAGTACTACCAGAAGGAAAGCAGTAGGGCCAGCCCTGAGTCGTGCGCTACCTGATGGGTTCTAGTAGGGCGTAAATCTACCGCCAGAGGACTACCTGAAAACCCACAAAGGGGAGACCTAGCTCATCAGCCGCCCTTTCGTTGTTGAGGTTTTTGATGGCCACCGCCGATTTCAGTCTGAACGCCATGGGGCGATCTAGCTGAACACTGTATTACTACCTCTTAGTTTGAATGAAAACGCAGTAAGTTTTGTGTTCCTTCGGAGTAGGAAGGACCAGGCGATGTAGTCATGTTGGTGGATTTGGCATACCGATAGAGACGGTCCAAGTTCTGCTCAATTGTCTAACACACTAACACCAGGAAAACTAAGTGCAAGCATCTTGGTCCCACGTATGTTGAATCACTGAAGGTCAGCCAATATGTGTTTCCTGTGGATAGATGTCACAGATTCAGTAGTGTTACGAGAAACCATGTTGCTTTCCGCAAAAGAAGGGTCTCGAAGGGGCGTATTAACCCCGTGTGTTTTCGACTCTAGGCCAGGTTCGATCGGTTTAACTGATGTTACTGCGCGTGTTTGCATTGACTTAGCTAGGATAATCAGTGAAGTCTGAAACTTTTTACGCGCAGGTGGCCTAATTAGTTCCTGCAATCCATTTAAATGTTAAAATGTTTAAGAATACTCCGATTCAACCCTGTTAACAGTAACCGACAACAGTCATGCAGTTACTGGTGAGTAACCACTTAAGCAGGCCAGAAGCAATAACGAAAAGGAGGCCACATTATCGCGCCGGTAAAAGGCGATGGTAATGTTATTTTGAACAAAACCGAATATTACCGTAGCATGAGCGCATTGCTTGAAGATCCCTGGAAGTTAGTGAAAATATTCAGTAAGAAGAAGAAATCTCGATAATTGAAAGATCAGATCCAAATCTCTCGGATGGATGAAATGAAAACGGCTAATTGATTCGCTGGAAATTGAAAGAACTAGTCGCGGAAGCAACTTTGTTTCTAGATTGTATGTGTTATGCAAGGCACCAAAAGAGCGACCCCTTTGCTACCTATACCAGATATAAGTAACTCCGTGTATCTTGCACTGGTTAAGTGGCTTGCAGAGCTACTGGAACTAACAACGAGGGAGCTAGCAACTCATGGTTTTCGTGATACGTTCGAGTTTGTCGACTGCATTGGAAATAGACATGTGGAACACAATCAAGTTTTCAGTGGATGTCGTGTCGTAGTTTATCAATAATCCCGTTAGAGATGATAGATTACGTTGTTCAAATACATCGCGCGCATAGGTAGACAAATGGTGTTGCCGGTGGAAGGTCAAACAACACTGCTTCATCAGTGCACCGGCTACGTTCAATTTCGCTTTTCCAGAGAGTTATACTGATGAAAAAACAGGCTAGGTATGGGGTAACCATTGAGTCTCTCGTTCGCTAGTGTGTTTATGGCCAAACTAGAGAGGGTTTCATTGGGTGAGATGACTGAACCTATGCGAATCTATAAACTCTGGGTTTGATGGTGTGATGCGCATAGCTGAGGTGTCAATGGAGCAGGGGTATTTATTGAGGAGCTACAAGTGGGCTCACAGGAACCTTCAGCTATGCATGCAACCAGAATCAAATGAAGGTCTCGTTTTTCTGGATGTGCCGATGTGATTTTGACCAGGTTGCTCCCTGCAGTAAAAGGATCTACTGGAAAGCGACATGTACTCTTATATATACACCCTTAGATAACTTTGTTGCAATCCGGCGGCGGGATATGCTCAGAGGATACAATAGAAGCAGAGCGCACAAGTACTTCCTAATGACGGCTATCTCGTGGCCTTCGTTGACTGCAATATGGGAACTGATTGTGGGGTCGCCAAATCACTCACAGTAGGAAAGTAACCAGTACACTTATCATTATCGTTCAAGGGAGACAACACTTTCAGAAGACTCTAGAGGGTGATTACGAGCGGCCGCCACTAATATTGCATCGCACAATTACGCATTAGCTTTACTTCCACGGTTATGCTACGCCTTCAGCTGAAGGATAAACTGTCTGTGTATGTACTCTCACTGTGTGTATTACTTTACCTTTTCCTATGGGAATGATATTTTGTGCTGTAGAAAAGACGAGACCTGTTGTTCAACCGAGTACTTGGAAAGTTTGGCGATACTGCGCTGCAGTAAATCTGATAGTGAATCTTTCATAAATACTGAACAGTTGGAGGTCTGTGAACAAAAGTATGACAACGTATTGTTGGCATTTACCTGTATATGAGAGCCGTGGATGAGGGGAGCAGAACTTGTCCTGAAATTGAACGCACATAACAAATTAAGTAACGGAATGTATGGAGACCTTTGAAGCGTGTCTAGCCAAAACCTACGATGTGAACTTGAGATATTTTCAACGCTGTGTCCTAATATCCTGTACAAGTTAATGTTGAAAGCATGTCCTCCGATGTGAACATGGACACTTCTTAATTATTCCTATCCAAAATCTAATCCCTGTTAAAATATCTCACTCAACTTGCAGGTAAAGAGGTACCTTTTTGCACATGTTTCACAGCACGGGGGATTCCGCCCGTCCATGCTTTCGTTATCCGTGGACCGTACGTGGCACACATGTTCAGGCTAACATGAGTGATCTCATGGAAGAAATACATCAGACTCCTATACTATACAAAATATGAGTCCCAGCCCAAAACAATATCTACGCAATATATGCATGTATTTTAAGTAAGCAGCGTAGGTTGCGCACACCAGTTGAACACTAACAACTAATGGTCATTGTAGCCAAACAGTGCATATAGTTCGGAATCAGGAAATAGATCTAAATTTTCAACAGCACAGTTGAGTAAAATTTGTTCTTGCTCACCCTTTCGGCGAAAAATATATTTGTTCTCACCGAACGCCCATTTAAGTCCTGTGGCTGTCTGAAATTGTCTGCCATACGTCCGGATTCAGGAATGGACGTGATCCTAAGCTCCCTGAGAGCTTTCAGCTAAAGGAAGCAATAAACAGAGGGCAACGGTCTATTCGTTTATAAACTTAAACTGAACAAAGTGTGACGATTGCTATCTAGACCGAGAGCAAACGTTCATAAATAGCCTCCACGTGGACTTGCCAAAAGTCTCATTGTCTTTTGCCACGATGACACCACAACTGTCCGTAAGATAAATTAAGCTATGCTCCATATTCGAACGGTAGCAGCTGGCTTGGTGAAAGAAGTATTCTATCACTGCATAATCACATGTGCACCAAGAGGTTACCGCAGTAAAACGAGGATGGGGAACTTAAAATAGCATTTATTACATCGCTAACTGTTGTTGTATGGAGGCGCGCCCACAAAATTCTCTTCAATTCTACCGCAGCCACTAGACAGGAATTCACACTAAAGATTAGTAGTATAGATAGAACACCCATGTCTCTAGATGATCAGGATACAAACCAAATGACCTACGCTAAGCTACTAAGTGGTGACTTACCATAACAATAGTTATTAATTTGGTGCATGTCTGAAATTATGCACCTAGTAATTAGCGGAGTCGTACGATCTTAGGAATCAAGTTGTTAGAAATTATTTTGACTTTTGGTATGTATACGATATTCACACAAGGTGGCAATCTGTCCGAACATTACACCATAGCCAACCACAAATCGTCTTTGATCCAAGAGGCAAAGTCTTAACTTTTTATTGATCATAAATGTTTATGCTGGACTGTAAGCAGTCAGGGGTTTGAAGTAAACTTATACGCACTAGAGGTGCGTTATTGATCTACTCACTAGTTTTCTGGATCATCGTCTTTCAAGAGTTGTCTAATTCTATGCTACTAATTCCATGCCTAAATTTAATCACACAACTGTGCTAAAATAACATCATCTTAAGCACCGAAGTTCGAATAATATATGCCCAACCAAAACCGAGTGCAATGCAATACTCGGTTGTCTACTTGTAGTGTGAGTGGCTAAGAAGGTTATTCAAATCAAGAATGCCGTAACGCGGAATAGCAAAGTACTACATTTGCTGACCTACCCCTAACAAGGTTAGACTTGATATAAACCGATGTTAGTAGTGTTTATGCCTATCGTTTAATTATATGGACAGTGAAGGCATCTAGTTTATCACTAACGCGTGTTCTAATTGAAATAAATTTCATGGCCTCCAGGTGAATGCAAAAATCTTTAATTGTGTGGATACATATGAGAAACTACGAGCACAGCGCTTACCTGCTCTTCAGTTACAGTTATTGCCTGATTCAATATGATCCAAGTGACTGTTTCATGACATGCAGGAAAAGGAATGGAACCTTCGTATGTCATATATTGCTTGGTTGAAGGCAACAGTGCAGAGACCACCAAACCGCTCAATTTTCGTGATTGTCCTAGTTGCAAAAAGCAGGATTTACACTTAAATTCTGATGCATTTGCTAATGCTTTGAATACCTAGATGCGCAATTAAAGTACTACTAAAAGGGGCGTGACACACTAGCAACATGTGCGCATATTTCTCACCAATATTCCCAGCAAGCTTTGCACCACCCAGTTCAAATCAATTGCAGCAAATTCGACGGTTAACATTTAGTTTCACGGAGCGGAAACTGTGGGTAAATCTTTAGTCCTGTTTATTCCCATAACCCTCGTACTAAATAATCTGCTTGCATAAAACATTTCACCAACTTCTCAACAGTGAGCGCTAACCATTTTAACCCTTTCGTGATTATGGATATAAGGTCGCTGCGTCATATACAACTGAAGTGCATTTAAACAGGAAATTTTTTTTATAATCCCAAATAGAAAACTCAGGACAGAAACTGCTATGATTAAGTCATTTCGTACAAGCTGTCCAGTCAAATCATGCATAAATCATGGATATACGAAACGCTGTCATATGAAATTAATAGGTAACCAAACTTTGACCAATCGTCACGCCTCAGGCCGCCACGGTAGATTAACATAGTCAGCTGTTTCTGCACACAAAGTAGTGACCGCTCTCAATGGATGACATCAGCTTCCAATGGCCTGCGAATATAGCGCCGCCGATTGCCCGTTGAGACAGTGAATGACTCGGAGGCCGGCGCTCAGCAGGTGTCGTAGGATTGCCGAGGCAGTTCGACTTTTCAGCTCAGCTGATTCAGGGGGCCTTCAATCCCTTCCGTTTGCGTAACCACTTAGGAAAGTGTTCATTAGTCGTGACATCTAAACTTCGGGCAGTGGGTACAAGCTAGCTGTCTCCGCACCTACTAGTGAATTTGTATAAGTAATGGGACCTGCACTGCTTCGGTACCGGTGTCTTGGTGAAGCAAATAAGCGCAGACCTTGGTGATATAAGTAACCGGCTACACAATAAACTCTCTTCACTGAGCCACAAATGCGTTCCGCGGTGTTTCTTATCATATGATCATATTTGAACGGCAGCCCGATGAATGTCGGCTTTTTTTGAACTGTTGGCACACAACCTGCCTTGGAAATAACCATAATGCGCTTCAAAAACATCACCAGATAACGGTTTGATTCTAATGTCTCGAACAGGAAATCTTTCTCTCCTTCTACTGCTTCCGGCGTGCAAATAATCTAGGCTTGATGAAGCAGCGTCCGGACGAGCTAGCGCTTGTGTTGTATAGAGGAGAAGATCTTAAATTTCAAATACTTCCCCATCCATGTTGTTTTTCGGTAGACTGGTCTGCTGACTAAAATACCTAAGCACCGTGTGATCCGTATGTAAAGGTATAGGAGACGAGTATCTTGTTCCGAGTCACATGTCACTGTCACGTTCGAATGCACGCTGTTGTATGTCTATGTCGCACCCATAATGTCCTCTTCAGAATACATGATAAATAGTACATCAATCAGATAACGCATGTATAGAATGACCGCTTTATTATATCACTAGCCTTCCGGTTCATGCTATTGAACACATTCGCAAACAAAGGGCCTATTGAACTGTTCATTGCAACACATTCTATATGTCGATATGTCTTCCCGTGAAAATAAAACTAGATGTTCTTCAAGAAAAAATGAAGCATATGCTGGAACGTTAGACTACTTTTTGATCTCATTAGACCATGTTTATACAACAATGATTTTTGCATGTTTTGTGAACAAAACGTATACAAAAAAGGAACGCATCATACCGCTGTCTGGCATTCACCTGACTGTTCGCATAGCAAACCTGCTCTATGCTGGCACAGATTTTCACGTCTTCCGCTTCAACTAGCGTAGTCATCATATGCTTATTCAAATCGGACCAAATCCCGTGTTTAGTAAGCATATGTTTACTGAATTATTTCCTACGGAAAGTGGTTTGGGCTACGCATGTTGGCTTAGCGCGCTTCGTGCTTCTATCCGGACGCGCCATTATGTCGTTTCTAATAGTTATCAATGCTGTGACACTGTGGTCGATCAAGGATTCTCCGCGCTATCTGGTGGTTTAATACTTACTTCCATAGGATCATTTCTAACGAAGCTACGAGAAACACTGTGGTTTCAATAGTATTCGCCCATCGCCGACACTTTCGCTGTCATCCACAGACTACAAGCCAATTACAACGACTGTGTCTTACAGGAAGCTGTGTGGGTCAGTAAGTTATCCAACCTCAGTGTACGTTTGTCGTTGTCGTGCACTTTCACCTACAGTAACAGACGTCGAGCACGCGACTGTGGACACAGAACACGAGCATCACTCACCCCCTACGTCACGTGACCAAACAAGCAAAGCGTTGGCTTGCAACCGCGGCCCTCAAAGAACTTAAATGCACCTAACCGTAAATGTTGTAAGCAGATGTGCACGTACGTAGTTAGATGAGGCATTATTTGTGAATTTTGCGGCCCTCCGTTCCATCCCCTCCGTGCTGGTTTTAGTCCACTACCATACAAAGGAAAAATCAACCTGACTGCTTCCTTCTGGTTTCGATAAACATGTAGAGCAATCGCAATAGTCAAACGTCTAATATTGTACGTGAGAAAACGTGAAAAATTGACTGAACCAGTCCAGCAGTTGATGAACTTCAGGGCTTTGCCATTAGAATCTAACAACACCGACCTTGTTCTGCAGCAGACCCATCAGAGCTATGTCCCGAAGTCGAAGGCTTGCTAACCGCCGGCCACATCTGCGCCACCTACTTCAACGGTTATTTACTCATTAATTGGACAAACCACCTCCAGTGTGACTGCTATGAACTCACCCCTGGCCGTCATATGTCACGACTTGGTCACCACACAGACACGGACAGTCCAGAGCCGGGTGACATACGCATCAATCGCCTCCATAAAAAGGCCTAAAGAGAAACCTGTACGTCAATTTTCTGTACCAAGGACGAGCGATGCGATGCAGCTTTCACAAAGTTCTTTGGTGCCCGCCAAACAATCCAAGTTATCAGCCACAGTACCCTAATGGACATACGTTAAACAGAACTACAGCGCGTTAACGCTCGTGTGCACTAAAGTTCCCGAGTCCAGATCTGGCATAATCATGGGCACGTTGGTAGGTGGTGGCAGCCAGCGGCATTCCAGTTGCGATGTGAATGGTATTCGGGGTTGATCCAATTGGGTTACGACAAGTAGCGCGTCACCCAAATTCTGTGCGCTAAGGCGAAGGCCGGTTTCTTCGAATAACCTCGAATTCAACTAACGAGACAGATGCAGTCCTACTCTCAGCAGTTTATCTTCACAACTCCTTGAGCGTGGTACGTATACAACCAGAAGTTACTTAGAATGGAACTCAAATGAAAGAGCAAATTATGACAGCCGTTCTACGAATAAAAGAAAGAAAACCGTATTTGTTTAGAATCTACCTGAACTATTGTACACTCCTTATCACAAAGCGAAATATCACGACCGAGAGCAGTGGTGCTACATCCGCGAAGTACCTTCGCTGGACCAGGTTTTCGCTAAATCACTAACAACATTCCTTGATCTCCAAACTACAAGCGCTTCGGTCCAAATGTATTGAAAGTTGTGCTACACTAAGATGGAATGACAGAAGTCCTAGTGGATAGTTGGTTGAAGCATCTCTCCAGATTTGCCAACAAAATTAGTCAAAAGATAGCAGGCGCACGGCCATTAGTTGTTAGCGCTTCATTGGAATATGCAACCTCATTGCAATATTTGCTTCCACAAGCCTTCAGAGTTTTAGACAATTAGGCATTAGCGACACCTGACGGGACAGGGGGACACATGAGAGAACATATGGATTTGGGATGCTTCAAGCTGCATGCAGCATACCTGAAATTCAGAAAGCAATAACCCACGTAAAAACCATTGGCGGCCGACCGAGGAACTGTCGGCTTAAAACTAAACAAACATTTGTTGTCCACCCAACATTTTTAATATCAAAACACTATTATGTTTGTGTAGTTACACCCAAGGTCTTCTTGGTATGTTGGCCGAACTTGGAGAACGCCGGGCGTCACAACCGCGGGATCTCATTATGATTACGGAGACCTAGTTAAGCTTTGAGATAGCAGATTCTGAAGTCAATTTATCTGGATTGACACTGGTTCGAAATGACGGAACTCGAAGAGGTGGTGGTGTAAATCTGCATTACAAGGCTAACCTCCGATGTGAACCTGATGACCACACAGAGAGCTGCACCCCAGATTCGCTTTGGTGCCGGCTATGATTGCGGAACAAAGACATAAGTCTTATAGCTGTGATTTACTGTTCTCAAAATTCTACATGTGAAATGGACTCAAAAGTAAACCACGATCTTCAGGTTGCTTTGAGCAAAACATGCAGTCACATTCCCATTGCAGGCGACATTAATGTGTACCATCTGGAAATAGCGGCAACTGATAGCATGCGATTCGAAACCTGTTTACAAGAAGTAATTTCCATCTACTCTCTTTAGAACTACGTGACCTTACACATCAGGTTTTCAACTGCTAACAAACCGTCGATACATCAGCTTGTGCTCACCAACGAAGAACTCATGGTCAACGGAATAATTACAAGCACACCACTGGGTCGCAGTGACCATGTGACTCTACTGTTTAACTATGTATGCTATGCGGAATATCCTGAGGAAGGGAACGAGAAAGTATATACAGCCATACACTAGAACGTGTTATCCGCGCTTGTTTAGGAGGCATCTTGGACCTACTTAAATGAATGCCCCCAGAAAACGCTTGGAACACTTTCACAGGGACATTTACCAAACTGATAACATACGCGTCTGAGCAGAAATCCTTCCATCGTCAAAGAAAGTAAAGAATAAAGTCATTTCTGAGGAGCGGAATATGCAAATGCATGTTCTTGAGGGACTTAGCATGGAGAGCTCACAAACACTCCCCGAAATTCGAAACCTGGATTGGATATGTGACACAGCGTAACTTCTGTGTGGGTGGGAGCCGCGAGGACAAGCTGACGCATTAACAAGAGTTGCTGA